AAGGTTTGGTCCTCACTCAGTGTTGAATACGACCTTTTAAGTTCCCAGACTGTTTTTAAAGCCGTGTAGGTCTCTTTTTTTTGACCACTAGAACCCTAGAACCATTTAAAAGACCTATAAAATACCCTCAGTGACCTCTGCAACTTCTCATTGGACCCCTAGAATATCTTAACGGGCCCCTAAATATCCGATACAGACCACTGGAACTCTTTTAGAGAATGCTATGACATTCTAAAGAACACTAAAACCTAATCAATGGCCAATAAAACTGATTAGGAACCCCGTGACTGTTCCTAATGACCAGTAGAACCCTCTAAATTACTACTACAATGGAGTCCAACTCACAGTTTTTTAGCTGATGGATGATGATGTTGCTGTCAGTGAGCCTCACTGCTGTGAAAGAAGTCGGTGTCTAATAACTCATGTTCTTTTGGAAAATGTGACTTTTGTCCAACCAGATTCTAATGTACTGAGCAGATTTCGTCTCTTTTACCCTGTTTTAACACCACAACTGTGGAGATTGGTAGCGGTTGACTGTTCCTCTGCCTCTGATGAATAAAACATGAGAGGTCTTTGGTTTCTGATCATAGCAGTGATCCAGTTAGTGTGAGGACACTAGTTGACCTACATAGAGGATTCAAAGGGAACTGAGGCAGCGTTGAACGTCCAACTTGATCATCAGCCTGAAGGTTGGTGGTTACTGGGGCAGAAAACCTCCTTTAGTCACACGTTCGCTCACGAGAGAGGGCATGTATTGTCGAAACCCTATTATCATTAGTTGTCTGGTGACATCTGGAACCATTTTAGTTAAAGAAGAACTGCTTTCTAGTTGATGTTAGGAGCAGTCAAAGCCTTCTTATTTCATGCGTTAGACCTTTCACCAAAGCACACAACACAAGCTTGTGTGTTTGTGTCAGAATAGAAGAATCTTCTGGTGCCTGGACTGAGTTAGGAAGATGTAAATCAACTTTAAGACCATCTGCTTTTTGGAATACTGGGTGTCATTAACAAAGATGTTGGGAAATCTTGAAGAAATGTAAGCTTAAAATCAACTGTGTAATATTAACTTTGTCTTTTTTTTCTTCTGGTTGCAGGTTAAAGAGATGACGTACAGATGGAGGGTGGACCTGGCTCTCCCGTTCTGCCTCTGACGTTCAGCAGATTTTCGATGAGCCCTCTGCTGGATACCAGGAGGTCAATTGACCATTGGCACAAATAGCCCACTGAAACAAGAGTATCAGAACCTTTATGTGAAAGGCCAGACATGTCTCAGGCAGGGAAAGTCCTCCACCTGTATGTAGAGGTGAGATCTGTTGGTGAGGAGGACGGAGGAAAGCTGCCGGGAAGAGGGGACGATGGGACCAGACACCTGATGCTTCAGTGCCCAGACGTCCTGCCTCACTCTCAGAGGAGCTCCACGCTCAGCAGCCCTCACCGTAATCCGGATCTGTCCACAGTCATCCAGCAACACATGGGGGGTGGGAACCACAGCTTACCTCCCTCAAAGTCCTCCTCCAGGCACTCGGTCAGCTTCCAACTCCAAAACCCCGACGCTACAGGCTCTCCCACACAGTTCCAGCGACAGGATGTGTTGCAAGACAGTTTTGGGCAGTTACTTGAGGTCCTTGCTCCTGGAACAACCAATCTAGGCCATCATGGCTCACTTGGACGCACCTGTTCCTCTGACATGGATCCATACCAGGGGAGGGTGCTCATCTCCCCATCATCCACATCTTCTGGAAGGCTGACTGTACCCTCCACACCCACCAGCAATCGTAGGTCATTTGAGGCCCCAGGGGTAGCGAGTGAGGAGGGGAAGACCTCTGTGGTGTCCTTTGGCTACATAGAAAAGGCGAACGTTAACAGCATGGCCGGCCGCCGTCCCTCTGTGTGCCAAAATGAGCCTCAGCAGCAGCAGCAGCAGCACCTGCCAGCTCACCTCCGGAAGAGACTAAGTGATCCAGTGTGGTGCAATGGTCAGCAACCACAGGGCGACCCTTTTGCCAGTCACCACTACGTGTCTCGGAACCAGTCCCCAAGGGGCTCGCCCTCCCTGCAGAGGGCTACCCTGGACACTGTAGCCAGAGATGCCACCTACAGAGCCTTAGAGGAGTTTGGATCCCCAGAACTCCGGCGCAGGTTTCCAGGCCACGGTCAAGAGAATTGCAGCCCAACCCTGCCACGAAACTACCAGTCTCCTCGCTGCCGGTCTTGGGGTGGGTCTCCTGTCCTGCCCCGCAGCACCGTCACCCTGCCGTCCAAGATGCAGTTACAGGAGTTGGACCGGGGAGTATGCCGTGGTTCAGCCAATGGATTACCCAGAAGTCCTGCCTATGACCACCTGTGTGCCCACACTGGCTACTCATCCCCCTCAGGGACTCCACCAACAGCCCTTCGCTCCCATGGCCCGGCCCAGAGCCAGCAGAGGCCATGGGTGGGGGATGAGAGCCCCAGGTTGTCAAGCAAATTTCACCCACCTTTACCTGCGGGGAAACCCACAGACATACAGCATGAAGTTCCAACGAGCATGTTCCACACCAGCACCCCTTCCAGGATAGGCTACAAGGCTGGGAACTCCAATGTTAATAATAGTTATAATGCTAACATCACCAACACCAGTCCTAACACCACAGACAGTAGACACTACAGTTCTAATGATAACTTGAACACTCATTACAGACCATCACGCTGCAGTAGCAGAGCCAGTGATGCAATCAGCCCTAGCAGTGGCAGGAGAAGCATCTCTCCATCCTCAAATATTGATTTATCTTGTAAGCTAGCTTTGGAAGCATCCAAATTGTCCAGCATTTTTGCAGAGAGACGGACTCCCTCTCCAACTCCTTCTCAACCGGAGTCATTGAGGTCCGATAGTCCAAAGACTGGAGGACCATTACTGAGAGAATCCCAGCCGTATGCTACTCTTCATGGGAGAAGCTCCCCTGAGTGTTCACAGGTGGACAACCAGAGCCACAGCTGGAAAACAGACAAACCGGCACCTCAGACTAAACCAGGACGCATCTCCCCTCTCCTGTCCCACAAAGGCCTTCCTTCACCAGCATCCCCAGCCATGCCAGCTAGGTTGCACCGTGCAGCCGCCTCTCAGTCACCAGTGTTGGACCCACGGCATCAACGGAGTTCATCACCCAGTAAAGACATGTCTACCCTTCACCGCTACCAGCCGCCACAGTACACTGGAGACGATAAATCGCCTGCAGTGCAGCAGAGGCAGTACGATCACCTCTTGGATAGATCACTCAAGGATAGCCCTGAACCCCCCAGTATACGTCTATCCAGCCAGAACAATGAAGTTTTGCCTGTGAGCTGGACGTCCAGGCAGCGGGAGTGGAGGGAGGCCGGACCGGTTCAGGATGGTGGTGAACTCAGTGAGGAAAACTTCAGGCGGTCACTTTCCAGAGTTTATGCTCCGAGCAAAGAGGAGTACTGCAAGAAGGACGGAGGAGACAGAGGAGGAAAATGTTTAGGCACGTCGAAGGATCAGAGAGAGGAGGTTCAGGACCACAGTGGAGCTGCTGGGACATCGTCTCAGAGCTCCAGCGGGGTGACGGGCAGCCTGGGAGACAGTTCCCAGCTGGACAGGAACGACAGTCTGTCCCCTGAAACCTCAAGCCAGTCCAGCCACGATACGGCAGACGGCGGCTCTGGGATGCAGGTCGGCTGTATGGAGGAGTGATGAGGGTTGTGTTGTGTGTGAGGGAGTCGTCACATAGATGATGTATGCTTGTGTTTGTTTTGAGTCTGTGTGGGCAGGATGACAATGAGTGTCTGCAGAGCTGAATGACAAACCATGTCACAACACTGTGTCACATTTACCTCCGTTATAATAAAACTACAGCAGAGTTGCCCACTCTTCCCTTAGTGTTTGTTTCACCAGTTTCTCTTCCTCTGTATATTTTCTCACAGATGGTTTCTGGAGCACAACATCTTCTAACATAAATAACCATCTGGTACTGATCTGGACACCGAAACAGGAACATCTTGTAATTTTAAGACAAATAAAAAACAGGTTATTTTGTTAGCACTCATAACTTTAGATCTCATACGGCTTTGGTTGCACTTTTATGGCTTAAGATCATGGGATATGCTAAGTGCTAACAAGTGTGTTCGTTAGAGAATGGAACTAATTAAAAAGCAGGCAGCCGTAGAACCTTACAGTTATCGTCCTAAAGTGTCTCTGTGACTTCTTTAAGAGTCCACATGAGACCCGGTAAACACATTAATGGAGCTTTAGTAACTCTGCTGATCACTGGAACATTTTAAATATCCTCAAAGACCATTTAAATTCTCCTTTGAACTGTAACACAGGTGGACCTCTGGCTTCTCCTTGGATCTGTGCAACCTGACCCCTAAAACATCTTAAATCTCCTAAACAGTTGCGACATCCCCGTTAAAGACCAACAGAACCTCCTCAGTGACTCACAGAACCGTTTAAATGACGCATTGCAGACCATCTTTAGAACTTAACTGAACCCAGATCATCTTAAATATCCTGAAACACTTCACGGACCCCATTGAAGCCTGACAGGACATCCTCAGTGGTTGTAGAAGTGTCCTGATTTACTTGTTGTGATGACTAAAACCTATTAAGGGATCCCGTGACTGCTTCAAGGTCTTCCAGAACTTCTTTAATTATTGCTAAAGTCTTTCTTAATTAAACTAGAACTTGACTAATTGTTTCTAAATCCTTCTAAAGGGGACGTAAAACTTCTTTAATGGTTACTACAACCTTAAAAATGACACTAGAACCTTCTGCGTCGTCTTCATTGACCCCTGGACCTTCGTTCAGGTTCTCTAAACAATGAAGAAGGCCACGTAAAGGCTGTTTATCATCAGTGTGCGGCTCCGGTTCACTACCTTTTGTATTCTTTTTTTAAGGCGCTTGTGTAAAGTCATGTTGTAGACTAAGAATAGTTAAACTCCTAACCTCAGTGGACTTTTCTGATTGTTTTCCTTCAGAAACAGAAACCCAATATTTAATCGCAATGCTTCCTTTCGTCCTGCAGTCTGACAGCGGCTCGACGCCGTCCTCGCGGTCGCAGAAGATCGCCCAGGCCAAGTGGGAGTTTCTGTTTGGAGGCCAGACGGAGGACAGTCGCCACACTAAAGGTACCGTAGATACCGACTGTTTACATGATTTATCGATGACGGTCACAGTTCGGGAACAAAAGTAAGTCGGCTTGTAATCACAAGAAGATGAAACCGACTGCCCGGTTTGGTGATCAGTCCAGTGATTCTGAATGTTTTTGTCTGGAAAACGAAACTCAGCAGCCTGATTGGATGTGATAACAGTACTTCCTGCATTGTTGATGTAGTTATTCCACTTTATTCAGAAGGTTGCTTGACCACATACTCACTAATAATGATGAATACTTTCAGATTTCTTTGGTCTTCTGCAAAACAAGACATTTGCCAGTTTGGGCTTTGGGAAACACACTTCTTTTTTTTTTTTTTCCATTTTCTGACGTTTTAGAGACCAAAACACGAATCTTTTAATCCAGAAAATAACTGACTGATTAATCAACAATGGGAATACTCGTTAGCAGCAGCCCTGGTAGCGCTGGTATAGACAGAAGCAGCATCCTAACCCTTCCTGTGTTTCCTCTGCTATTGTTTCTTCGCTCTGTGAAGTAAACAGCTCTCGGCTTCTTCTAAGCCAATTAGCCGAAGCTTAGCATAAGCTAGGACAGCTCTCACAGTGTACAACTCCACTCACACGCATTACTACACGCCGCTACTCACTTCCTGTCCTTTATTTAGTGTGTGTGGAGTTTTTTTTCTGACCACAGCTCACCTGGTCGCAATTAATCTGATTTGTTTTTTTATTTGCGTGAAGTAATCTGTGCTGCCGGCTTTGGACGCCTGTTGCCAGAGAAAACGGTCGGTGTGAGATAACATGAAAAGCTCATGAAACCTCATTCCATCAGAAACATTTGATAGCACGAGAGCTTTAAACCTGAGCAGCCTGGTTTGGTCGACTGAACTCATCTCCAACACATGACTCATGCTGATTTTTTAAGGCACCACATGAAAACCTCTTTTATTAAAGCAGCAGTGGACGAAGTATTGCTTTACTTTAGGATTTCAAAGCAAAGTAGTGATGCTCCATTTAGTGATAAATGTTAATTCCATGGCAGCAAAAGGTAGCTGCAGGATTAAAGTATGAGGGTGGATTTTACAGGACATTTGAATGAGTGCATGTAGATCCTGGTGGTGTCGTCGTCCTGGAAACGTGCAAAATGGAGTTTTATCACCTAAACAATGAGCATTCTCTTGGGAGTATGGTGTGTAAATGTAACCAGACAGTGAATGAAAAACACAAAGTAGAAACCAAAGTCAAAATAAGACTTAAGTCAAAAACAACTAGAAGTGAAACCTGCTGGTGGAAGTCCAGGACTGGGTCTGTGTCCACAATATCCGTCACTTCAGAACCCTTCGTCTACGTCAAACACCTTCCAGTACGTTCTGGTCGTGTTTTGAGAATTGCTTAAAGTTGAGATCTCGACTATTTTATGTAAATGAGGAGCGTCGAGCCTGGTCAGACGCCTCTGGAAACCTTTGGAGAACCCTTAAACTAACCTTTGTTCATCTAAAATGAGGACAGATTCAGGAGATGCATTGCTGATTTTTCACCTCTGAATTTTCATAATAAAAGAACGTTTCCTGGTGAGCCGCCATGTTGATCCAGTCTGAACCCAGGAGCAGAGAACCTTCTAGCAAAGCACCGTCCAATCAGATTTAGCCGATGTTTTCGTGGCCTTAGGAGGATAAATCCTGTGTTGATTCCTGTTGAAGAGCAGCTGTCGGCCGTCTATTGTTCGCTGCCAAATTGTAAACCCATCAAGCGTCCAGTAGTAAGAAGTGGTGAGCTCCCACGCATGTAAAACCGCCTCTGTGGACACGATCCACCGACAAACCCCCAGACACTCCTAATGCACGCTTGTTTGTTTTTGTAAGTGCTAAATGGCAGCTGAGCGACTATTAAGTGAGATGATAATGACCCACCGACTCAACTGGAAGGCGGAGGAGGTCCCCACTGGCCCATATGTGTGGAAAAGATGCATCAAAATAATGTTAATGAAACACTGAGACGTATCGTTATCATGATCCTTCGTCGATAATCGTGCAGTGAAAATATACTGTGACAGTCCTGATCTGCAGAGAGACGTTCCCTCCATTAAAACCTGAAAACAGAACAGCACCTGAAACCTGATGCAACACCTTTTCTTGTGTAACTAAAACTCTTTCATTTCCGCTGCAGACGTCTCACCTGTGACGCCCCCGACCAGCGGCTCGCCCAGCCCCACCCCTCCCTCCTCCCTCCAGCTGAAGCCAACCAATCAGAGGAGGGGGCGGGACAGCGCGGGTCAGAAGCTGTCGTATCATGAGGTCCGGCAGATCGAGGTGGAGCTGGTGACCCCCAACTCCCGAGGCTCCACCCCCAAGACGGGCATCATCCGGCGGACCATCAAGTACTCTGAGACGGACCTGGACGCCGTGCCGCTGCGCTGCTACAGGGAGACCGACCTGGACGAGGTGAGCCGGGAGACCCACCTGTCCGCCTCTCACCTGGACGAGCAGTGTTTAAGTGTGGTTCTCTCGTGCAGGTAATGCGGGCCGAGGCAGAGGCGGCCGAGGAGGCGGACTCAGCCTTCGGGAGCAACCGCAGCGTCCTGGGAAACTGCAGCTTCAGCCCCGCCGACGCCTCCCCGAAGCCCCGCACAGGTGGAGGGAAGGAGGAGAACGGGGAGGAGGAGGACGAGGACGAGGAGGAGGAGGAAGGAGTGGTGAGCTGGGCCAGCGTCAGGATGCAGGGAGACCGGCAGAGGCAGCGAGCCACCAAGGAGGAGGACGAGGTGTTCAGTCTGCTGCTGAAGGGGTGAGAACACAGCCAGGAACCAGGTTCACATTCATCACAGAGGCTCGGTTCCACCTGCAGGCTCAGCTGTCATGAATCCAGATAAGAGTTAACCCTCTGGATCTCATGCCTTCAGCTGTGTTTACCTCCTGTCACATCTTTACTCACCGTGGGCTCATTTCTCACTGCAACATAAAGTCCTGCACCTCTGTGGAAACAGAACAACCAGGACTAGAAGGAGAGAAGACTCAGACACGTCTTCTGGGCAGAACGATGCAGTTAGAATGCCACGAATAAGAAAAAAAAAAATACATTTCTTTGATTATTGTTTTTCAGAAATTGACAAACTAAACCCCAACATAAAAAAACTAAAATTATTTACTTTACAAAAACTCAAAATCAAAGAAAATCAACATGTAAATCAGTTTCTCTCGTTCCCAGAAGTTTTACCAACGTGAACAGAATATTGTAGCTTATATACTATCATATATATACGTAGTTGTTTTAGAATCTCCTCTTTCAGATGAGCTCTGTCTAGACGAGGAAAACGCTCATTTAATGCACATAAACCCTGTTTGATCTGTGTGTGGCTGCTGTTCCCTCGTCAGGTCGTTGGAGGCCTCGTCCGACACCCACGGCGGCCTCAAGTCTCCGATCTCGGTGGGCAGCCCCCGCCGACCCTCCGACAGCAACCTGGACTCCTTCAGCCGCCACTTTGAGAGCATCATGGAGTCCCACCGGGCCAAAGGCACCTCGTACAGCAGCCTGGACAGCGTGGACCTGCTGACCTCCGGGTCCACGTCGGTGTTCACCTTCGACCTGCCGACGCTCACGCCGGAGATCCAGGTAGGAGCTGAGAACGGTGACAGCGGCGCGTTGGTGCGACTGCAGGAGGTAACCGTGATGTGTTTGTGTGCTCAGAGTCAGATCTGCGAGAGCGCCAAGCAGATCATCGAGCTCAGCTTCGCCCCGCTGGCCCGGCCCGACCCGTCCGCCCCCTCGGAGACGTCGCGCTCCGAAATCACCCTCAGTGCCTCGGCGGCGGGGCTCCGAGGAGGCTCCAAGGACGACTGCGGCCCGCCGGTCCGGTCCAAGTCGGAGAAAGAGTCGTGGCGTCGCTCCATCCTCAAGGACGGCTTCAGGAAGGCGAGCTCGGTGCCGTCGCTCCACAGCAGCCCGAGGTGAGTCCAGGTTCAGGTCCACAGTGAGGACAGGATAAATCAGCAACACTACGTCCACGTGGGTTAGAGGTTTAGTCCAACCAAAACACAACATTCCACCTGGTGTTGAGGCTTCACGTGATAAAGATATTTTATTATTGACATTTAACAACTTCTGCAGACTGAAGATGTTTCCCCATGCTGAACGTATCTTCCATCAGCTCTCCCCTCTGTTCACTGCTTTTGAGCCATGCAGCATTTATTTTATGGATCCGGTTTCTTATATTTTCCTCTCTCGTCGTTTCCTCTCTGCTCTGTGGAAACACTGCCTGCACTTCACCTGAAACCTAAACTATTACAGCTGAGTCAGTCGTGGTCTTTGCGTTGTGCTGAAAAACTCAGAATTGTCACATTTTCTACTGGATCTCCTGCAAAAACTTCATTTTTGGAGAATTTCCAAATGCGACTTGTAGAACAAATATCAGCATGATGGAATATCATCAGTTTGAGCTAAGATCTGGTTGTTTTCTCCAAACAAAAGCACGTGCTTGGGTTGAAAATCCAACGATTCTTTGTTTTTTCAGTGTCCAGCTGATAAATGGTGTCATTTCAGTGATTTTTATTTACAGGCAGCATGCCTTCAAACCTGCCAGAAGTTAAATCTGCAGAAACTCTGATCGTTGTCGTGGCAGAAGCAGGTTGTCATTTCTTTCGCTCTGTTTAATACTCATCTCACATGTTCTGTGGACAGTAAACAAGGAATTGGTTCGTCGCTGGCTGCTGTTGCTCAGAGTGAAAATCTCTGCTGCAGTGACACTGATCAGCCACAAGGTGGCAGCACAGACATGTTCTGTTGCTCTGTGTGTGTGTGTTTGTGTGTATTAGTGTGGGTTTGTGAGTTTCGTGCCTTCAGAGTGCTGCAATTTGTTTGGTCCTCGCTGCTGTGTCGAAAGAGCAAATCCACTGTGGGTGGATTTTTTCTTTTTCCAAGAGAAGACATTTGCTTTGTTGTAACCCTCTGAAACACAATGAAGCAATCTTTGGTCTTTTTTTTTTTTGCTTTTATCACAAGAATCAGTCCTTATCCCTCTGAACCCTGAGTAGTTTCTGTTTTGGGTGATTTTCACTCACTGTGGGTGCATTTTTCACTGCAGCATAAAGTCCTGCACCTCTGTGGAAACAGAACAACCACGACTAGGCGTACAGAGAAGTCAGGAATGTATCAGGAATCATCACGTACAGCATCTTGTTCACACGTTAGCACACTGGCAAAAACAAATAGTCCCTCTACATGATATAGATGTCTTCCTGGTTTCATTTTGGCCTAAACGTCCCTGAACTGTTGGTCTCCGGTGAGTCACTGATGGCTCTGGTTGGTGGAAACACTTTATTTTGGGCTGTTCTTGATGAAATATCACAATTTGAAGCTTAGATTGTGTCACACATAATTGCATTCTATCTCATTTTTTAGCTCCTGGCTCTGATAAATGGTGTAATTTTGGTGATTTTTAAAACATGCAGGTTTTAGGGCTCAGATGGTTGTGATGTCCTGCAGAAAGTCCTGCAGTCTACCACACAACACAAACACACACAGCGTATACACAAAACACAGAGCTGATGGTGTGTAATGCAGCCAACAACAAAACTCCATTTATCTCCGTGTAAATGTGAAGCCGTCGACGTTCTGTGTTTTTCTTGCTGCTCTGATTTTCCGGCGGTTGCAGACATTGTTCGGATAGTTTTTAAACGCCCTGTAGTGTCCACATGATGCACTCAGCTGTAATTAAAAACAGAAGAGGGGTTTGGAAATGCTTTTATTAATTAACAAAGCAACAGCAGCACTGCGGCGTGGCTGCGCTGAGGGCTTAAAGGCCTGAGCGAGCTGAGGACCGGATTACGTCTCAGTGCTGCACAAGTGTAGAACTGTGTGTTTAAATGCAGGTGGTGTTAATATTCATACTGAAATGATAAAAAAATGTACAGTTTGATGCATAAAACATGCAGCTGTGAGTTAAAGGCAGCTTCACCAACATTTAAGGAGCTGGGACTGAACCGTTTCAGGCGTTCTGCATGAAAAACAACAAATATTACTAAAGTTACTGAAGTCAGATCAATGAAGCGTTTTAGCATAAAAAGGAAATACTGGAGTGCGAGTACTTCCACTCATCTGCTCTGTAGCAGCTATTTCCTGCAGCCCGTCTGTCTGGTTGTTTTCATGACCGATACTTCCCGTCCTGCCGCCAATCACACCTGGAGCCTGGTAACCACGGCGATGGCGGATTAACTTCCTGTAGTACGAGCACGTCAGGGTCCAAAATAGAAAAATGTGTCACACTTCAGCGCCGGACTCTGACACTGACAGGAAGAGGAGATGCAGGTCACATGAACAGAAGCTGCACACCTGCACCACCGAGACAGAACGTTCTCCGTAGAACCTCGTTCAGTCTGAGACTTTGTTGTTGGAACCCAGCCGGTTGGAGTCCATCATGTTGTCACGGTGTGAGCTGACAGTTAAAACACTGCCGATGCCGTGATCATGTGGAGCGTCGGGTCAGCTTTGGTTTGGGAAAGTGTCAGCGGATTGTTTTACTTTGGAGGGCTCCTCAGATTGTTTTATTGTGAAGGGTTCGTGCCCCATCTGGGTTAGGGTTTGGTGAAGTTTAGGGACTAAAACTGTTCCTTTACGTTCAGGAAAACATCATGATTTCTGTTAAAATACTGGCTTTTAGAAGTTTCTCCTCCATTTTCAGTTTCTCGGGCTGTAGAGCAGAGACTGTAGGAAAGAAAAAACATAAATGATGAACAGATGCTGATTAGAGACATACTTGTCGTATTTCACAAACTAAGTCAGTCTGGGAGATTATTCCCTCAAAACCAAATGTATTGTGCAGTTTAGCTGCAAAGAAACAAACCAAACTGTCTCTCAAACTAATTTGTGGGAACAAGTTAACCTGACAAAACAAAAAAAACATGTTCCCAACTGATTGTAACCTGCTTTAATAAAATAATTTGTTCCTATAAGATTCTAACTTGTTCCCACATAAAAAATACCTTCTTCCTACAACCTAAAAAACTTGTTCCTTTATGATAAATAACTGTTTCTCAAATACTTACAGCTTGTTCTTATATGTTAACTAGTTCCCACAAGAAAAGCACAAGATATTATAACTTGTTCCCCAAAGATTAGACTTTGTTCCTGTTGGATGAATACTTGTTCCCATGAGACTAACTTGTTCCTTCTAGATTACAATTTTTCTCACAAGTTAACTAGTTCCCACAGAAAAACACATTGTTTCCAAAAGATTATAACTTGTTCCCTAAAATACTTTGTTCCCATGAGATTAACTTGTTCCTACTAGATTACAATCTTTTCACACCAGTTAACTTGTTCCCAAAACATTTGACTTTGTTCAATGAGATTATAACTTTATCCTGCAGGTTAAATAAGTTGGTTCTGCGAGATAAAACTATGTTCCCTCAAGATTAGAACTTGCCTCTACATGATGAATAATTTGTTCCCACAAGATAAATAGATAGTTCCCACCTGGTCATTACCTTCCTAAACTCCAGGAGCTCTGCCTACAGTCAGACAGATCTCATCCCTTGTGTACTAATCGTACGTATATTCTGCTTTATTCTGTCCGGTGCTGAGTTTTGGTTCCACATGCTCTCGTTCTCTACTTCCAGCTTCATATGGTTACTTTACTTTGAACCAAACCACAGCGGTCACGTGATGCGAGCTCCAGACTGCAGAACCACAGAGCAACCAAACCAGCTCTGCTTTTAGATCTTTGTTCGTGTCAGGCTGCGGGCCTGCTGTCGGCCCGTGATGGAGGGTTTGGTTCTGCTAAACTGGGCTGCTCTGCTATTACAGACACTGTAAAGTCTGCATTTAACAGTGAGTCAGCATCCTATTATTCACTGCACGTCTTTATGCCGGTTCACCTCAGGAAACCTTAGTTTAAAGCCGATAGAGAGCGTCTGCTTTACTGTCCTTGTCGTTAAAGTCAGACGTTCAGCGAGAGGACATTTTAGTGGAGCTAATTATTCTACTCACATCTCTTCTATTGCCATGGTGTCGGTGGAAGATCCTTATAAGTACAAGGAAACATCTGTGTGGGTGTATCGGCAGCGGTGAGACGGCAAACGTAGTTTTACAGCAGACCTCTACTGAATTAACCCTTCGCCTTCAGGAGGTTGGTGTACAGCATCTTTATCAGTAAGGCAATTCAAAGTGCTTCGCATGAAACATAGAGAAAAATCAAATAAAATACAGTCCAGAAAAGTCTCAAGGCTTCTTTAAAATTACTGAGGGCTGTAGAAAACCTTTTTTTGTGGTAGCAGTAGTTTTAGTAGAAGCTTAACAGTAGATAATGGTTACTTTTAGTACAAGGTTAACAGAAGCTAATTGTTAGCTGTAGCGCAGGGTTAGCTTCAGCACAGCACTGTACTGTACCAAGTGGTTAGCTGTAGGGTAGCTACAACAAACAGTTAGCTGTAGCACAGGCTTACTTGTGACTAACAGTTAGCTGTAGCACAGGGCTTGCTGTGGCTGATGGTTAGCTGTAGTACAGGATTAGCTATAGCTGCTGGTTAATGTAGTACAGGGTTAGCAAAGGCTAACAGTTAGCTGTAGTACTGGGTTAGCAATAGCTAATGGTTATATTCAGTACTAGGTTAGCTGTAGCAAATGGCTTGCTGTAGCACAGGTTTAACTGTAGCTAAGGGTTAGCTTCACCACAGAATTAACTGTCGCTTATTGTTAGCTCATGCATAGAGTTAACTCTACCTTATGGTTAGCTGGGGCACAGGTTTTGCAGCAGCTAATAGTTAACTGTAGCATAGGACTAGCTGTAGTTGTTGGGGTGACAGGAGCACAGGGCTTGCTGTGGCTAATGGTTAGCTGTTGTAATAGTTAGCTGTAGCACAGGTTTAGCTGTAGCTAATTGTTATCTTGAGCCCATGTTTATCTGTAGCTAATGGTTAGCTGTAGCACAGAGTTAGTTGTAATTAATGGTTAGCTGTAGCCCAGGATTAGCTGCAGTTAGTGCTTAGCTGTAGCACAGGACTAGTTGTAGCTCACGGTCAGTTGTCACACAGAGCTAACTGTTGCTAATAGGTAGCTTGGGCAAAGGTTTTTTAATAACTTTAGCCACAGATTGGCTGGCAGGTTGAGCTAATGTTATTGTTCAACTGCTGTAAAAGCTGTAGTTATCAGTCATTTGTAAATGATGGTTAGCTGGAGGTAATGGTTAGCTGTAACTGATAATGAGCTGTAGTTAATGTTTACTTTTAGCAAATGGTTAGCTGTTGCACAGACTTTACTGTTGCACACGGTTAGCTGCTGTTATTGGTTAGCTGTCACTGATGGTTAGCCAGAGTTAATGTTTTTTGTAACAAATTAGTTGCAGTTCACATTTAGCTGTAGCATAGGGTTTGCTGTAGTTACTGGTCATTTGTAAACGATGGTTAGCTGAAAGTAACGGTTAGCTGGAGGTAATGGGTAGCTGGAGGTAATAGTTAGCTGTAAATGATAGTTAGCTGGAGGTAGTTGTTAGCTGTAGCTGATGGCTAGCTCTAACTGATGGTTAGCTGTAGCTGATGGTTAGCTGTAGCACAGGGTTTGCTGTATGGTCAGATGAAACCTGTCTGCTCCCTGCAGTGTAATTTGAAGGGTTTTGAATGATTTTTCTGTTTTCAGGTCATTACCAAGAATCTCCAAATTCTTGTCTTTTCCAGGGACTACCAGAACGTTTTCCTGTTTTCTTATTCATGCTCGTGTGGTTTTAAAAGTCTCTCCCTCAGCACACGAGTCCACATTCAAACATGTAAGGAATGAAATGAAAACAGCCAGACTGCTGCTGGGAGGCTTCTGGGCTTCGGTCTGGAGGAGTTCACTCTTTTCCTTCTTGGCATCCGTCCCTCGGCTGGGTGTGGACACACATCTCAAATTCAAACACATTCAAACTTTATTGTTTCCAGCAGAAAACGAATCGAGTCGCAGCAACACAACTTGGAAATGAGAAACAGGATCACACCCAAAGAGCAGCTGCTTCTTCTTCCTCCTCTTCATCTCCTTTTTATTCTTCTTCTTCTTCTCCTCATTCACTTTAATGAGACTCCTCCCAGCACCAACACACACACACACACATGGTTTATCAGCCTATGGAGGGAAATTCCAGATGGATTCATCCAGGCAGCGTTTCAGAGACGGGCCGCAGAGAAAGACCTCCCACTTCAGTCAGAAAAGCCGAGGCATTCCTTCGTCGCAGACTCTGAAATCTTTTCAATAGAGCCTCCTCCTCCTCCTCCTCCTCCTCCTCCTCCTCTGTCATTCATGTGGATCTTTTCCATCTGTTGTCTGGCTGCCGCGACCTCCGACCTCTGACCTGCTTTCGCTCAGTCGGTGGTGATGCTGCTGCTGGTTCTGCAATCGAAGCATGTGGGCTTCCTATAGCGTCTGAACAATGTCACACCGCTGCTTCTTTTATTAATATCATCAAAACAGGTTTTATTTTGCAGCATTTGAACGTTTGTTTACGTGTTGCTGCAGCTGTGCGTTGACTTAGTGTTTAGGTAAATAGTTTAGTATTTGCTATTTTTAGATTTTGTCGTGTTTCAATTTGCATTTCTTTGTATTGTGGCCAACAACAAAGCCTCTTACCCGCTCTTAAACACAGTTCAGACAAAAGCTAAACAGCTGAACAGTGCAGTGATTAAAATACCTTCACTACTACTGATATTATTGAATCTTAATTCATTTATTGCACATTTACGAGCAAAAGATCCAGTTAAACGTGGAAGAAACAAGAACTTTAGAGAAAAATGAAGGCAAAAGCAGGATAAATGTGTTTTTAAAGCCTGAGAGTCTGTTACTGAATGAGGAAATGTTAAATTGAAGTCACATTTTGGATGTTAGATTTAATAACATGAATCCTAATTCATTTATTGCACATTTACCAGCAAAAGATCCAGTTAAACGTGGAAGAAACAAGAACTTTAGTGACAAATATGCAGCGTCAAAGCCACAGTCTGTTGATGAATGAGCTAACTTTATTTTGCATTTAAAAATCTAGTGTTTTAGTTTAAGAGTTTAATTAATTTGAGAACATTTTCCAGCACGTTTTGTAAGAAAAATGGTGTAGAATCCGTTTAAAAGAATGTAAAAATGAAAGATTTAAAGACAAAGACTTTAAGTTTATTTGATTGTGGTGTAGAAGTCGTCTCAGGATTAGTGGGAGCCGCCGTCTGTTGTCGTGTTTATAGGAGAAGGAGTGAAGAGAGGCAGATATAAACTTCCAGGAAGGTCGATGGAGTGAAAGGAAGGTAAGAAGAGACAAAGAGAGGAAGGAGGAGGAGGAGGCGGAGGAGGGGTCAAACAGGGGAGGAAACACATACCTCCTTCCCCTCAGTGGAGGAAAATAAGCCAGCTGATGGACGGGAGGGGAGGGAGGAGAAGATCCGACGCAGAGGAGAAAGTTGTGGGTGAAGTTGTCGGGAGAAAAAGCCGGTGGTGAGGTTTTCAAAAGTGTAGACGAGAGAAGAAGAAGCAGCAGCGAAGAGGAAGAGGAGGAAGCCAGACGGAGGGGATTATAGAGGAGGAGACGCTGCTGCTGCTGCCGCCGCTGGAGGAGGATTTACTCTGAATGAAACACAAAGGCCGGCCGAGAACTTAGAGATGATGTCGTTCGGCTGTGATGTCATCGTGGTGTCGCTCCCCGCCTCGCGACTCGGAGGCGTCGGTGTGGTCTGATTGGCGGCTGCTCTCGGCCGCTGACATCCCGGGCGCGTGGTGCGAGAGTGGGGCGGGATCATGGCGAGCTACCTGCTGTGCTGGGGGGGCGGGGCTCTGGAGGACAGGTACCTGTACGCCCCGCCTTACCCGGCCGTGTACAGGTGAGTGCGATTGGGGTTGGAGTCAGTTCTCTCAAGGCGTTTAACATTTGAAAAATCAGTAAAATTACACAGTTTTNAGACAGAAGCAGCATCCTAACCCTTCCTGTGTTTCCTCTGCTATTGTTTCTTCGCTCTGTGAAGTAAACAGCTCTCGGCTTCTTCTAAGCCAATTAGCCGAAGCTTAGCATAAGCTAGGACAGCTCTCACAGTGTACAACTCCACTCACACGCATTACTACACGGCGCTACTCACTTCCTGTCCTTTATTTAGTGTGTGTGGAGTTTTTTTTCTGACCACAGCTCACCTGGTCGCAATTAATCTGATTTGTTTTTTTATTTGCGTGAAGTAATCTGTGCTGCCGGCTTTGGACGCCTGTTGCCAGAGAAAACGGTCGGTGTGAGATAACATGAAAAGCTCATGAAACCTCATTCCATCAGAAACATTTGATAGCACGAGAGCTTTAAACCTGAGCAGCCTGGTTTGGTCGACTGAACTCATCTCCAACACATGACTCATGCTGATTTTTTAAGGCACCACATGAAAACCTCTTTTATTAAAGCAGCAGTGGACGAAGTATTGCTTTACTTTAGGATTTCAAAGCAAAGTAGTGATGCTCCATTTAGTGATAAATGTTAATTCCATGGCAGCAAAAGGTAGCTGCAGGATTAAAGTATGAGGGTGGATTTTACAGGACATTTGAATGAGTGCATGTAGATCCTGGTGGTGTCGTCGTCCTGGAAACGTGCAAAATGGAGTTTTATCACCTAAACAATGAGCATTCTCTTGGGAGTATGGTGTGTAAATGTAACCAGACAGTGAATGAAAAACACAAAGTAGAAACCAAAGTCAAAATAAGACTTAAGTCAAAAACAACTAGAAGTGAAACCTGCTGGTGGAAGTCCAGGACTGGGTCTGTGTCCACAATATCCGTCACTTCAGAACCCTTCGTCTACGTCAAACACCTTCAATATGTTCTGGTCGTGTTTTGAGAATTGCTTAAAGTTGAGATCTCGACTATTTTATGTAAATAAGGAGCGTCGAGCCTGGTCAGACGCCTCTGGAAACCTTTGGAGAACCCTTAAACTAACCTTTGTTCATCTAAAATGAGGACAGATTCAGGAGATGCATTGCTGATTTTTCACCTCTGAATTTTCATAATAAAAGAACGTTTCCTGGTGAGCCGCCATGTTGATCCAGTCTGAACCCAGGAGCAGAGAACCTTCTAGCAAAGCGCCGTCCAATCAGATTTAGCCGATGTTTTCGTGGCCTTAGGAGGATAAATCCTGTGTTGATTCCTGTTGAAGAGCAGCTGTCGGCCGTCTATTGTTCGCTGCCAAATTGTAAACCCATCAAGCGTCCAGTAGTAAGAAGTGGTGAGCTCCCACGCATGTAAAACCTCCTCTGTGGACACGATCCATAAGACCACCGACAAACCCCCAGACACTCCTAATGCACGCTTGTTTGTTTTTGTAAGTGCTAAATGGCAGCTGAGCGACTATTAAGTGAGATGATAATGACCCACAGACTCAACTGGAAGGCGGAGGAGGTCCCCACTGGCCCATATGTGTGGAAAAGATGCATCAAAATAATGTTAATGAAACACTGAGACGTATCGTTATCATGATCCTTCGTCGATAATCGTGCAGTGAAAATATACTGTGACAGTCCTGATCTGCAGAGAGACGTTCCCTCCATTAAAACCTGAAAACAGAACAGCACCTGAAACCTGATGCAACACCTTTTCTTGTGTAACTAAAACTCTTTCATTTCCGCTGCAGACGTCTCACCTGTGACGCCCCCGACCAGCGGCTCGCCCAGCCCCACCCCTCCCTCCTCCCTCCAGCTGAAGCCAACCAATCAGAGGAGGGGGCGGGACAGCGCGGGTCAGAAGCTGTCGTATCATGAGGTCCGGCAGATCGAGGTGGAGCTGGTGACCCCCAACTCCCGAGGCTCCACCCCCAAGACGGGCATCATCCGGCGGACCATCAAGTACTCTGAGACGGACCTGGACGCCGTGCCGCTGCGCTGCTACAGGGAGACCGACCTGGACGAGGTGAGCCGGGAGACCCACCTGTCCGCCTCTCACCTGGACGAGCAGTGTTTAAGTGTGGTTCTCTCGTGCAGGTAATGCGGGCCGAGGCAGAGGCGGCCGAGGAGGCGGACTCAGCCTTCGGGAGCAACCGCAGCGTCCTGGGAAACTGCAGCTTCAGCCCCGCCGACGCCTCCCCGAAGCCCCGCACAGGTGGAGGGAAGGAGGAGAACGGGGAGGAGGAGGACGAGGACGAGGAGGAGGAGGAAGGAGTGGTGAGCTGGGCCAGCGTCAGGATGCAGGGAGACCGGCAGAGGCAGCGAGCCACCAAGGAGGAGGACGAGGTGTTCAGTCTGCTGCTGAAGGGGTGAGAACACAGCCAGGAACCAGGTTCACATTCATCACAGAGGCTCGGTTCCACCTGCAGGCTCAGCTGTCATGAATCCAGATAAGAGTTAACCCTCTGGATCTCATGCCTTCAGCTGTGTTTACCTCCTGTCACATCTTTACTCACCGTGGGCTCATTTCTCACTGCAACATAAAGTCCTGCACCTCTGTGGAAACAGAACAACCAGGACTAGAAGGAGAGAAGACTCAGACACGTCTTCTGGGCAGAACGATGCAGTTAGAATGCCACGAATAAGAAAAAAAAAAATACATTTCTTTGATTATTGTTTTTCAGAAATTGACAAACTAAACCCCAACATAAAAAAACTAAAATTATTTACTTTACAAAAACTCAAAATCAAAGAAAATCAACATGTAAATCAGTTTCTCTCGTTCCCAGAAGTTTTACCAACGTGAACAGAATATTGTAGCTTATATACTATCATATATATACGTAGTTGTTTTAGAATCTCCTCTTTCAGATGAGCTCTGTCTAGACGAGGAAAACGCTCATTTAATGCACATAAACCCTGTTTGATCTGTGTGTGGCTGCTGTTCCCTCGTCAGGTCGTTGGAGGCCTCGTCCGACACCCACGGCGGCCTCAAGTCTCCGATCTCGGTGGGCAGCCCCCGCCGACCCTCCGACAGCAACCTGGACTCCTTCAGCCGCCACTTTGAGAGCATCATGGAGTCCCACCGGGCCAAAGGCACCTCGTACAGCAGCCTGGACAGCGTGGACCTGCTGACCTCCGGGTCCACGTCGGTGTTCACCTTCGACCTGCCGACGCTCACGCCGGAGATCCAGGTAGGAGCTGAGAACGGTGACAGCGGCGCGTTGGTGCGACTGCAGGAGGTAACCGTGATGTGTTTGTGTGCTCAGAGTCAGATCTGCGAGAGCGCCAAGCAGATCATCGAGCTCAGCTTCGCCCCGCTGGCCCGGCCCGACCCGTCCGCCCCCTCGGAGACGTCGCGCTCCGAAATCACCCTCAGTGCCTCGGCGGCGGGGCTCCGAGGAGGCTCCAAGGACGACTGCGGCCCGCCGGTCCGGTCCAAGTCGGAGAAAGAGTCGTGGCGTCGCTCCATCCTCAAGGACGGCTTCAGGAAGGCGAGCTCGGTGCCGTCGCTCCACAGCAGCCCGAGGTGAGTCCAGGTTCAGGTCCACAGTGAGGACAGGATAAATCAGCAACACTACGTCCACGTGGGTTAGAGGTTTAGTCCAACCAAAACACAACATTCCACCTGGTGTTGAGGCTTCACATGATAAAGATATTTTATTATTGACATTTAACAACTTCTGCAGACTGAAGATGTTTCCTTGTGCTGACCGTGTCTTCCATCAGCTCTCTCCTCTGTTCACTGTTTTTGAGCCATGCAGCATTTATTTTATGGATCCGGTTTGTTTTATTTTCCTCTCTCGTCGTTTCCTCTCTGCTCTGTGGAAACACTGCCTGCACTTCACCTGAAACCTAAACTATTACAGCTGAGTCAGTCGTGGTCTTTGCGTTGTGCTGAAAAACTCAGAATTGTCACATTTTCTACTGGATCTCCTGCAAAAACTTCATTTTTGGAGAATTTCCAAATGCGACTTGTAGAACAAATATCAGCATGATGGAATATCATCAGTTTGAGCTAAGATCTGGTTGTTTTCTCCAAACAAAAGCACGTGCTTGGGTTGAAAATCCAACGATTCTTTGTTTTTTCAGTGTCCAGCTGATAAATGGTGTCATTTCAGTGATTTTTATTTACAGGCAGCATGCCTTCAAACCTGCCAGAAGTTAAATCTGCAGAAACTCTGATCGTTGTCGTGGCAGAAGCAGGTTGTCATTTCTTTCGCTCTGTTTAATACTCATCTCACATGTTCTGTGGACAGTAAACAAGGAATTGGTTCGTCGCTGGCTGCTGTTGCTCAGAGTGAAAATCTCTGCTGCAGTGACACTGATCAGCCACAAGGTGGCAGCACAGACATGTTCTGTTGCTCTGTGTGTGTGTGTTTGTGTGTATTAGTGTGGGTTTGTGAGTTTCGTGCCTTCAGAGTGCTGCAATTTGTTTGGTCCTCGCTGCTGTGTCGAAAGAGCAAATCCACTGTGGGTGGATTTTTTCTTTTTCCAAGAGAAGACATTTGCTTTGTTGTAACCCTCTGAAACACAATGAAGCAATCTTTGGTCTTTTTTTTTTTTGCTTTTATCACAAGAATCAGTCCTTATCCCTCTGAACCCTGAGTAGTTTCTGTTTTGGGTGATTTTCACTCACTGTGGGTGCATTTTTCACTGCAGCATAAAGTCCTGCACCTCTGTGGAAACAGAACAACCACGACTAGGCGTACAGAGAAGTCAGGAATGTATCAGGAATCATCACGTACAGCATCTTGTTCACACGTTAGCACACTGGCAAAAACAAATAGTCCCTCTACATGATATAGATGTCTTCCTGGTTTCATTTTGGCCTAAACGTCCCTGAACTGTTGGTCTCCGGTGAGTCACTGATGGCTCTGGTTGGTGGAAACACTTTATTTTGGGCTGTTCTTGATGAAATATCACAATTTTAAGCTTAGATTGTGTCACACATAATTGCATTCTATCTCATTTTTTAGCTCCTGGCTCTGATAAATGGTGTACTTTTGGTGATTTTTAAAACATGCAGGTTTTAGGGCTCAGATGGTTGTGATGTCCTGCAGAAAGTCCTGCAGTCTACCACACAACACAAACACACACAGCGTATACACAAAACACAGAGCTGATGGTGTGTAATGCAGCCAACAACAAAACTCCATTTATCTCCGTGTAAATGTGAAGCCGTCGACGTTCTGTGTTTTTCTTGCTGCTCTGATTTTCCGGCGGTTGCAGACATTGTTCGGATAGTTTTTAAACGCCCTGTAGTGTCCACATGATGCACTCAGCTGTAATTAAAAACAGAAGAGGGGTTTGGAAATGCTTTTATTAATTAACAAAGCAACAGCAGCACTGCGGCGTGGCTGCGCTGAGGGCTTAAAGGCCTGAGCGAGCTGAGGACCGGATTACGTCTCAGTGCTGCACAAGTGTAGAACTGTGTGTTTAAATGCAGGTGGTGTTAATATTCATACTGAAATGATAAAAAAATGTACAGTTTGATGCATAAAACATGCAGCTGTGAGTTAAAGGCAGCTTCACCAACATTTAAGGAGCTGGGACTGAACCGTTTCAGGCGTTCTGCATGAAAAACAACAAATATTACTAAAGTTACTGAAGTCAGATCAATGAAGCGTTTTAGCATAAAAAGGAAATACTGGAGTGCGAGTACTTCCACTCATCTGCTCTGTAGCAGCTATTTCCTGCAGCCCGTCTGTCTGGTTGTTTTCATGACCGATACTTCCCGTCCTGCCGCCAATCACACCTGGAGCCTGGTAACCACGGCGATGGCGGATTAACTTCCTGTAGTACGAGCACGTCAGGGTCCAAAATAGAAAAATGTGTCACACTTCAGCGCCGGACTCTGACACTGACAGGAAGAGGAGATGCAGGTCACATGAACAGAAGCTGCACACCTGCACCACCGAGACAGAACGTTCTCCGTAGAACCTCGTTCAGTCTGAGACTTTGTTGTTGGAACCCAGCCGGTTGGAGTCCATCATGTTGTCACGGTGTGAGCTGACAGTTAAAACACTGCCGATGCCGTGATCATGTGGAGCGTCGGGTCAGCTTTGGTTTGGGAAAGTGTCAGCGGATTGTTTTACTTTGGAGGGCTCCTCAGATTGTTTTATTGTGAAGGGTTCGTGCCCCATCTGGGTTAGGGTTTGGTGAAGTTTAGGGACTAAAACTGTTCCTTTACGTTCAGGAAAACATCATGATTTCTGTTAAAATACTGGCTTTTAGAAGTTTCTCCTCCATTTTCAGTTTCTCGGGCTGTAGAGCAGAGACTGTAGGAAAGAAAAAACATAAATGATGAACAGATGCTGATTAGAGACATACTTGTCGTATTTCACAAACTAAGTCAGTCTGGGAGATTATTCCCTCAAAACCAAATGTATTGTGCAGTTTAGCTGCAAAGAAACAAACCAAACTGTCTCTCAAACTAATTTGTGGGAACAAGTTAACCTGACAAAACAAAAAAAACATGTTCCCAACTGATTGTAACCTGCTTTAATAAAATAATTTGTTCCTATAAGATTCTAACTTGTTCCCACATAAAAAATACCTTCTTCCTACAACCTAAAAAACTTGTTCCTTTATGATAAATAACTGTTTCTCAAATACTTACAGCTTGTTCTTATATGTTAACTAGTTCCCACAAGAAAAGCACAAGATATTATAACTTGTTCCCCAAAGATTAGACTTTGTTCCTGTTGGATGAATACTTGTTCCCATGAGACTAACTTGTTCCTTCTAGATTACAATTTTTCTCACAAGTTAACTAGTTCCCACAGAAAAACACATTGTTTCCAAAAGATTATAACTTGTTCCCTAAAATACTTTGTTCCCATGAGATTAACTTGTTCCTACTAGATTACAATCTTTTCACACCAGTTAACTTGTTCCCAAAACATTTGACTTTGTTCAATGAGATTATAACTTTATCCTGCAGGTTAAATAAGTTGGTTCTGCGAGATAAAACTATGTTCCCTCAAGATTAGAACTTGCCTCTACATGATGAATAATTTGTTCCCACAAGATAAATAGATAGTTCCCACCTGGTCATTACCTTCCTAAACTCCAGGAGCTCTGCCTACAGTCAGACAGATCTCATCCCTTGTGTACTAATCGTACGTATATTCTGCTTTATTCTGTCCGGTGCTGAGTTTTGGTTCCACATGCTCTCGTTCTCTACTTCCAGCTTCATATGGTTACTTTACTTTGAACCAAACCACAGCGGTCACGTGATGCGAGCTCCAGACTGCAGAACCACAGAGCAACCAAACCAGCTCTGCTTTTAGATCTTTGTTCGTGTCAGGCTGCGGGCCTGCTGTCGGCCCGTGATGGAGGGTTTGGTTCTGCTAAACTGGGCTGCTCTGCTATTACAGACACTGTAAAGTCTGCATTTAACAGTGAGTCAGCATCCTATTATTCACTGCACGTCTTTATGCCGGTTCACCTCAGGAAACCTTAGTTTAAAGCCGATAGAGAGCGTCTGCTTTACTGTCCTTGTCGTTAAAGTCAGACGTTCAGCGAGAGGACATTTTAGTGGAGCTAATTATTCTACTCACATCTCTTCTATTGCCATGGTGTCGGTGGAAGATCCTTATAAGTACAAGGAAACATCTGTGTGGGTGTATCGGCAGCGGTGAGACGGCAAACGTAGTTTTACAGCAGACCTCTACTGAATTAACCCTTCGCCTTCAGGAGGTTGGTGTACAGCATCTTTATCAGTAAGGCAATTCAAAGTGCTTCGCATGAAACATAGAGAAAAATCAAATAAAATACAGTCCAGAAAAGTCTCAAGGCTTCTTTAAAATTACTGAGGGCTGTAGAAAACCTTTTTTTGTGGTAGCAGTAGTTTTAGTAGAAGCTTAACAGTAGATAATGGTTACTTTTAGTACAAGGTTAACAGAAGCTAATTGTTAGCTGTAGCGCAGGGTTAGCTTCAGCACAGCACTGTACTGTACCAAGTGGTTAGCTGTAGGGTAGCTACAACAAACAGTTAGCTGTAGCACAGGCTTACTTGTGACTAACAGTTAGCTGTAGCACAGGGCTTGCTGTGGCTGATGGTTAGCTGTAGTACAGGATTAGCTATAGCTGCTGGTTAATGTAGTACAGGGTTAGCAAAGGCTAACAGTTAGCTGTAGTACTGGGTTAGCAATAGCTAATGGTTATATTCAGTACTAGGTTAGCTGTAGCAAATGGCTTGCTGTAGCACAGGTTTAGCTGTAGCTAAGGGTTAGCTTCACCACAGAACTAACTGTCGCTTATTGTTAGCTTATGCATAGAGTTAACTCTACCTTATGGTGAGCTGGGGCACAGGTTTTGCAGCAGCTAATAGTTAACTGTAGCATAGGACTAGCTGTAGTTGTTGGGGTGACAGGAGCACAGGGCTTGCTGTGGCTAATGGTTAGCTGTTGTAATAGTTAGCTGTAGCACAGGTTTAGCTGTAGCTAATTGTTATCTTGAGCCCATGTTTATCTGTAGCTAATGGTTAGCTGTAGCACAGAGTTAGTTGTAATTAATGGTTAGCTGTAGCCCAGGATTAGCTGCAGTTAGTGCTTAGCTGTAGCACAGGACTAGTTGTAGCTCACGGTCAGTTGTCACACAGAGCTAACTGTTGCTAATAGGTAGCTTGGGCAAAGGTTTTTTAATAACTTTAGCCACAGATTGGCTGGCAGGTTGAGCTAATGTTATTGTTCAACTGCTGTAAAAGCTGTAGTTATCAGTCATTTGTAAATGATGGTTAGCTGGAGGTAATGGTTAGCTGTAACTGATAATGAGCTGTAGTTAATGTTTACTTTTAGCAAATGGTTAGCTGTTGCACAGACTTTACTGTTGCACACGGTTAGCTGCTGTTATTGGTTAGCTGTCACTGATGGTTAGCCAGAGTTAATGTTTTTTGTAACAAATTAGTTGCAGTTCACATTTAGCTGTAGCATAGGGTTTGCTGTAGTTACTGGTCATTTGTAAACGATGGTTAGCTGAAAGTAACGGTTAGCTGGAGGTAATGGGTAGCTGGAGGTAATAGTTAGCTGTAAATGATAGTTAGCTGGAGGTAGTTGTTAGCTGTAGCTGATGGCTAGCTCTAACTGATGGTTAGCTGTAGCTGATGGTTAGCTGTAGCACAGGGTTTGCTGTATGGTCAGATGAAACCTGTCTGCTCCCTGCAGTGTAATTTGAAGGGTTTTGAATGATTTTTCTGTTTTCAGGTCATTACCAAGAATCTCCAAATTCTTGTCTTTTCCAGGGACTACCAGAACGTTTTCCTGTTTTCTTATTCATGCTCGTGTGGTTTTAAAAGTCTCTCCCTCAGCACACGAGTCCACATTCAAACATGTAAGGAATGAAATGAAAACAGCCAGACTGCTGCTGGGAGGCTTCTGGGCTTCGGTCTGGAGGAGTTCACTCTTTTCCTTCTTGGCATCCGTCCCTCGGCTGGGTGTGGACACACATCTCAAATTCAAACACATTCAAACTTTATTGTTTCCAGCAGAAAACGAATCGAGTCGCAGCAACACAACTTGGAAATGAGAAACAGGATCACACCCAAAGAGCAGCTGCTTCTTCTTCCTCCTCTTCATCTCCTTTTTATTCTTCTTCTTCTTCTCCTCATTCACTTTAATGAGACTCCTCCCAGCACCAACACACACACACACACATGGTTTATCAGCCTATGGAGGGAAATTCCAGATGGATTCATCCAGGCAGCGTTTCAGAGACGGGCCGCAGAGAAAGACCTCCCACTTCAGTCAGAAAAGCCGAGGCATTCCTTCGTCGCAGACTCTGAAATCTTTTCAATAGAGCCTCCTCCTCCTCCTCCTCCTCCTCCTCCTCTGTCATTCATGTGGATCTTTTCCATCTGTTGTCTGGCTGCCGCGACCTCCGACCTCTGACCTGCTTTCGCTCAGTCGGTGGTGATGCTGCTGCTGGTTCTGCAATCGAAGCATGTGGGCTTCCTATAGCGTCTGAACAATGTCACACCGCTGCTTCTTTTATTAATATCATCAGAATAGGTTTTATTTTGCAGCATTTGAACGTTTGTTTATGTGTTGCTGCAGCTGTGCGTTGAGTTAGTGTTTGGTTAAATAGTTTAGTGTTTGCTTTTTTTAGATTTTGTCGTGTTTCAATTTGCATTTCTTTGTATTGTGGCCACAACAAAGCCTCTTACCCGCTCTTAAACACAGTTCAGACAAAAGCTAAACAGCTGGACGGTGCAGTGATTAAAATACCTTCACTACTACTTATATTATTGAATCGTCATTCATTTATTGCACATTTACGAGCAAAAGATCCAGTTAAATGTGGAAGAAACAAGAATTTTAGAGAAAAATGAAGGCAAAAGCAGGATAAATGTGTTTTTAAAGCCTGAGAGTCTGTTACTGAATGAGGAAATGTTAAATTGAAGTCACATTTTGGATGTTAGATTTAATAACATGAATCCTAATTCATTTATTGCACATTTACCAGCAAAAGATCCAGTTAAACGTGGAAGAAACAAGAACTTTAGTGACAAATATGCAGCGTCAAAGCCACAGTCTGTTGATGAATGAGCTAACTTTATTTTGCATTTAAAAATCTAGTGTTTTAGTTTAAGAGTTTAATTAATTTGAGAACATTTTCCAGCACGTTTTGTAAGAAAAATGGTGTAGAATCCGTTTAAAAGAATGTAAAAATGAAAGATTTAAAGACAAAGACTTTAAGTTTATTTGATTGTGGTGTAGAAGTCGTCTCAGGATTAGTGGGAGCCGCCGTCTGTTGTCGTGTTTATAGGAGAAGGAGTGAAGAGAGGCAGATATAAACTTCCAGGAAGGTCGATGGAGTGAAAGGAAGGTAAGAAGAGACAAAGAGAGGAAGGAGGAGGAGGAGGCGGAGGAGGGGTCAAACAGGGGAGGAAACACATACCTCCTTCCCCTCAGTGGAGGAAAATAAGCCAGCTGATGGACGGGAGGGGAGGGAGGAGAAGATCCGACGCAGAGGAGAAAGTTGTGGGTGAAGTTGTCGGGAGAAAAAGCCGGTGGTGAGGTTTTCAAAAGTGTAGACGAGAGAAGAAGAAGCAGCAGCGAAGAGGAAGAGGAGGAAGCCAGACGGAGGGGATTATAGAGGAGGAGACGCTGCTGCTGCTGCCGCCGCTGGAGGAGGATTTACTCTGAATGAAACACAAAGGCCGGCCGAGAACTTAGAGATGATGTCGTTCGGCTGTGATGTCATCGTGGTGTCGCTCCCCGCCTCGCGACTCGGAGGCGTCGGTGTGGTCTGATTGGCGGCTGCTCTCGGCCGCTGACATCCCGGGCGCGTGGTGCGAGAGTGGGGCGGGATCATGGCGAGCTACCTGCTGTGCTGGGGGGGCGGGGCTCTGGAGGACAGGTACCTGTACGCCCCGCCTTACCCGGCCGTGTACAGGTGAGTGCGATTGGGGTTGGAGTCAGTTCTCTCAAGGCGTTTAACATTTGAAAAATCAGTAAAATTACACAGTTTTTTGAAGCCAGAAACTGTAAAAACTGAAAAAATTCTACAATTCTCAACTTTCCTACTGCGCTTGAATGCATCATGCGTTAAACACGGTTTCATGTGGAAAAATCTGAGCGTAAAGTTGTGGTAGTACATCACAATCACTTTATTCTGTGTGTCTTTTTTCAAAGTAATATCAATAATAATCAAAAACAAACTGTTTATGCTGATTAGATTCTGTAAAAGATAAAAAATAAGCACTTCCTGGCACAGATAATACACCACTAGTGACCAAAAGTCATAGAATAAAAATTTGTCTCATAAAAAAGTCACCAAAATTTACCAGTGTGCTCTAAACACATTAGAACAACAACGAAACGTCAGTACTTCTGAGCATAAATGACAAACCATAATTAAACTCAGCTGTGACCAACATTTAGTTTGAGTTTAGAGTTTTCAGTTGAAGTGCAGGAGAGGAAACGACAAAATAAACTGTGAGACAAATCCAACGTACAGGATCGATTACATGAACGCAGCACGACTCAGGATGCAAGTAGTTGGAGGATTCAGTCAGCTCGGTGAAACATCTAGATTTAAATATCTATAGTGTGTAGACGCAGGGTTTTATTTTCCAGGATTGGTAACGGCTGTGGGCACTTGGAAAAATGCTGTAACTGTTGATTCCAGTTTTTTATTTTAACCAAAGTCCTGCACCTCTATGGAAACAGAACAACCCAGACTAGAAGTCAAACGTGTCTCCTGTGTGATTTGACAACGTTATCGTCATAAAAACAGAAAAAACGAGTGTGAAAGATTCTTAATTTTACGAAATTTCAATATTTTTCCC